AGGACAAGTGGTTGTTTTATAGCTCCGCACCCTCCATTCATAGATCATGTTCCATTAATAGAAGCTGTAGTATAGCTTCTATGAATGGCAGATCTGGGCAGAAGGACATGCATAGTCAGGCTTTCATGAAGGGAGCCTGTGACAGTCCCTTAGCTGTATTAAACCCCACTGCATAGGAAGATTGCAGCAATTTGGCGTGATGGAGGAAGATTTTTACCTAACAAAAGAAGAATCAGCACAAGGGGCACATTTTACATACTGTAAGTTATGTCTCTTGTGCTGATTTTTCTGTTTGCTTTGGCTGCATGTTACTATTTGCTATTTGTGACTTTGGCTTTAATGAAACCTTTAATGAAGCTGTTGAGTAGCTGTTGTCATTTGCTATAGGCCAACAAATAACAGAGACCGTTCTAACCAATTCATTTGACAAAGCTGATTTTGCCTAAAAAATAAAGAACATATAGTAAGTACCATCTCATATATGAATATGAATATTTGTAAATAAATTTTACAATTTCTATTTTAATTATTTTTTATAGAATAGGAAAAGCCCATTTTGTATAGGAATTCCTTAAAAGTGAGCCAGGAAAACTTTAACCACAGTTAGCAGAATCATAATTCTTTTTTACCCCCAAGAATAGATATGAATCTGCTAGAATTGGGGTTGTATTAATTCCCAGAGTAGCTCAAAGCCAATTAATTTTAAATTCCTCGGTAGGAGAGGGAAAAAAAAAGCTGATTTTTATCTTGCTCTTGAAAATACCGTACCCATCTTAGCTGACTCAATCTGCCACTCATTGTCACTGAACAAACAAACAATTACGCTAAGAGCAGTTATGGCAGAGAGCAAGTCCAGAAGACAGACAGAATCACTAACTACAAAGGTCAAATGGAGCATCTGACAGATACTGCTTATGACAAGCAGATCTAGGTGCAAACTGGCCAGCTTTTGTTCTAGTGAAAAGCCTTGGAACTATAATGTTCAGTTACATGCTTACCTTATTCTTTCTGGCTGTACATAATTTAATTTTTATTGGTGTAACAGTGTGCATGCTATTTTTTTCATTATGAGACTACTGGCTATATTCAATAACATGTCTGTAGACTGCGGGTGTATAGCATCTAGTCAGCAGTCAGTTTTTATTAGCTTGCCCCCAGTAAAGCTCTCAGTAGACATAGGAGGGACAAATGTACAGCCATGATTCAACCACACTCATGCTAAACTATATTTAGATTCCTCTATAAAAGTGTAGTCTTGACTTACCCCTTTATGTGTATAGAGGGGAGGGGAGGTGGAGGGTAAGCTACCTGATCAGCTCACAACAAGCATTAAATAACTGCTCAATTGCATATAAAATCTAATTTGGAACATCTAAACACCTGTCCAGACTCCCCCACATTTGTTTCTCTACACACACCTGATGCGCACCTAGGCTTTTCGGGACCTATATAGAAGTGCACAGACAAGAGTGTCTGTCCTTAAAGTGATACAAAACCCTCATTTAAAAAAAAAATGCTGTAGCTGTCTTCCAGTCCTCTGTAGAAAATTGCCGCTCTTTAGGCTCTTATCCTAAAGTGGCTCCATTCCCTTACAGGGACTCAGAGCCACCTTTGCATGTCTGTCCCTGCTAGTGCTGTGGATGAGTGTCCTTACAGTCAAAAAAGCTTATAGCACTGGCAGCAAGCCGCACCCCCTCTCATCCCTCCATCTGCTCACTGCCAGCAGCTAGAGCGTGTACCGCCCCTGCTGTACTTTGTCTATGAAGGGCACAGGCCGCACTAGAAGTTTGGGAGAAGCAGTGCTAAGGGACCAGAGGCAGTGAGCAGGAAGGGTATTAGGGCACAGGCATTAAGAAAAAAATGTACAGGGTAATACTGCACTGCTTGACATTACCTAACACATAAAAAAGAATTTAATACTATTTTAATTACCATATATCATCTCTGTGTATGTAGTGTTAATGGTTTTTTATGTTCACACATTTATTATTGAGAAGCTTGAGAAGTTTGGACACATTTAGGTGGTGACTTAATACTCTTCCTATTATATTAGATGATATACTAATAAGGTAGTCATGTCTGTGATGTCACATATCTTTCTTGTTTTAATGGTAGTTCCCAAAGTCTCTTTACTGAAGTTTAAATATTGTGCATCTCCAGTTCCCAGTTGTGAAACTAATATCTTCTATTGGTAAATTTGGGGAGGGGAGGGGGGATTTTTTTGGCTGCATACATATAAATGAAATGAGATCAGAGATCGTTAGGTATACATTCTGAATGTGCACTAAACCCTCCAAAAACTCTAAAACTGGGCCTTGAAGTGGACCTGCGGCCAGATCATTCACACCAAAGTATTTACATATTTTGAGCATGCAGTTACAGCACTTTAAAACAAGCCCTCACATGCACTAGTAGGAAATTAATTTTCAAGTTTCACAACACGGGCATCTTAGCTCTTTCCCTATCACTTTCTATTGCACCAGAATCTTGTCAGCCTGCCAGGCCTCCAATACAATGCAAAAAAAATCACACAAATGTTTTGCTGCCCTGTCAGGATTGTGGGTATCCTTGTGCAAACTACAAAACAACAAGAGAGAGGGTGCACCAACCTAGTTCATTACCATAACTCAATTTCTTTAAAAAGTAATCTAAAGATAAGCTCCACTCAAAGTTTGGGGGAAGCAGTGCTGAGAGACTAGAGGCAGCGAGCAGGCAGGATACTTTCTATTAATGCACAGTTATTAGGGAAAAATGTACTCCAAAATTCCCTCCAAAACCGGGCCTTGAAGTGAACCTGTGGCCAGATTATTCACACTAAAGTATATACATATATTGAGCATAGAGCAGCAGCACTTTAAAACAAGCCCTCATTAATCTTTGGATCTATAGGTGCTGCTGGGAAATTCATTTTCAAGTTTCACAATACCAGCCAGGCTGCCTGGCCTCCAGTACAAATAAGAAGCAGGTGCTTGTAAGTTGTCAGAAACTGAATAAAGCCTGACTCTAGAGTCTTTGACGTGCCCCTCCTTCCACTCGGTACTCTCTTGTATAGTTAAGTGAAAAAAAAAAGTGTTATAAAATTTAAAGTACAATAAAATAAATATAAATAAAAAATTTAAAAGCACCCCCATCACCCGAACACACTTATACATAATCATAAACACACCCGTGGAAGCACACGGTTGTGAAATACATAATTACAAAAATACACAAATTGGGTGTTGTCGCACATGCTGGAGTGAGAGAAATTGTGCTTGGTCTTCATTTATGGTTTACTCTAAACTGATGAGCTTTAAGAAAGTATAAATAATGTTTTGCTCTGGAGGCAAATTTGTGAATATCTATAGTCTGGACTGATGCGCTGTAAAGGTCCTATTTTGTTGAATGGCTTACCACACATACTGTAAGCACCTAGTAGAAAGTGCATTTCTTTTCAATATGTGAAGCACTAGCACAAGGTAACTATTTAAAAATTTTAAATAAAAATGTGAGTTATTAACACTGACTTGTGCCTATTACATACAGCAGTTACATAGTTGAAAACAGATACATTCAGCTCAACCCCCAGAGAGAAAAAAAAACACATACACGCAAATAGAAAACCTCCATATACACAATCATGTACTGTACCCACAGTTAATCCAGAGGAAGGAAAAACCCCAATAAAGCATGATCTAATTTGCTCCAGTGGGGAAAAAAAATTCTTAATGATTCAACAAGAAGCAATCAGATATTCCCTGGATCAACTTTACCAATAAATATTAGTATCCAATTATATTTTGTGCATTTAGGAAAGAATCCAGGCCTTTTTTTTATAACAATCTACTGAACTGACCAGAATCAGCTCCTGAGGGAGTATATTCCACATTTTCATTCTATTGTGAAGAAGCTTTTCCGTATTTGGAGAAAAAAATTATTTTCCTCCATATGTGAAGCTTGCCCCCTTGTCCTTTGTGATTACCTTAAAGTGAATACCTCTACACCAAGTTCACTATACGGACCAATTATGTTTTTTTACATGTTGATCATATTCCTCTTTGTCTTCTCTTATTAAGAGAGAATCATTTCAGTTCCTCTAATCTTTTCTCATAGCTGAGCTCCTCCATGCCTCTTATCAGTTTGGTTGCCCTTCTCTACACTTTCTCCAGTTACCCAATATCCTTTCCGTGAACTGGTACCCAAAAATGGCAGCACAGTGGCTAAATGGTTATCACTTCCACCTGGCAGTACTAGGGTCGTTGGTTCAAATCCCAGCCATGGCACCACCTGTCTGGAGTTTGCATGTTCTCCCTGTGACTGTGTGGGTTTCCTCTGGGTACTCCGGTTTCCTCCCACACTCCAAAGATATGCTGGTAGGTTAATTGGCTCCTGTCTAAAATTGTCCCTAATATGTGTATGTATGAATGTAAGTTAGGGACTTTAGATTGTACAACACTTGAGGGTTAGGGACTGATGTGAATGTACAATATATGTATGTAAAGCGCTGTGTAAATTGACGGCGTGATATAAGCACCTGAAATAAATAAAAGTAAAATAAATAATAAAAACTGAACTGCATATTGTACATGAGGTATTAAATCCTGTGCAGTATGAATTTCAATAATAAGTTTACTTTAATTATATTGGATTACCAGTTTCTATCTCCCAAACGTAAACTGAGCCATCTTCACAACCGACCACCAAAGCTTCTTCCACGGGGTGCCATTTCATGGTCTTCACAGGAAATAGATGTTTTCTGGCATGGAAAAAACATGTTCGCTCCTGCAGATTCAGAAGTGCCACTGAATTATCACTGCAGACACAATAGATGGTCTGGAACCATTTTACCTATGTATGAAGAACACAATTGGAATGTTTTTAATTTGAAATCTTTACTTGATCTAAATGTAAATATTACTTGCTTGTGTCCCACTAATTTGATATAAAATAAACCAAGGGCCAGTGGAAAGTTCAGTAACATACAACAAACAAAAATGTCTTTCATGGATTAGACCAGGCCTTGAAATTTCCACTCGCCTGCTCGCCAATGGCAAGTAGAAATTATGGTGGGGGCGAGTGTGTCCCCCAGGGCCGTCTTGCTGAGCAGGCTCGGAGCTCAGGCCGGATCTGTCATTGGCACTGGGAGCCGTCAGACTGGTCAATAGCTGAGCGCAGTGAAAGCAAAGGAAGGAGTGTGTGCTGTGCTCTCTGCCTCCCCCTAGAGTGCAGTACCAGGCTCTGTGAGTGAACAATGAAGTACTGCAACTTTTTATAGGGGGGTGTGTGTGTACATGTGTGTGTGTGTGTGTTTGTGTGCATCTGTGTATGCATGTACATGTGTCTGTGTGTATGTACATGTACAGTATGTGTGTGTACATGTGTCTGTGTGTATGTACGTGTGTGTGTGTTTGTGTGTATGTATGTACATGTGTCTGTGTGTACATGTGTCTGTTTATGTATGTACATGTGTCTGTGTACGTATGTACATGTTTGTGCGTGTGTATTTCTGTGTATGTACATTATCTGTGTGTATGCATGTCTGTACGTGCCTGTGTGTGTATACATGTGTCTGTATGTGTGTGTGTGTACATGTGTCTCTGTGCGTGTATGTACATGTTTCTGTGTGTATGTACATGTCTGTGTGTGTGTACAGGTGTCTCTGTTTGTGTGTGTTTGTTGGTGGCGAGTAACTCTTAAGGCCTGGCTAGTAGCTCAGGACTTGAAATTTTAAGCCCTGGATTAGACTACACCAGACCGAAATCCGATAGCTTTTTATAAATTACCACATTTTATACATATTTATTTTTCATTGCCCTTCTACCACCAGAAAAGACCCTGATAGTTGATCTAACATAGGAGTAAATAGAAGAGCATTACAAATAAGAGGGTCCCTTCAGAACTGGTGGAAAACAGAACCCAATGTAAAATTATGTCTTTACAACTTATTGATCTCTGCCCAAAATGTAAGAACAAGTGTTTTGACAATTCAGTATAAATAATAGCCACAATTTCTATATCTTATATTATTCTTTAATCTGAACTTAAAATGAAGAACTTGCCCACCATGGTTTTTGCACATTTTAGATATATTTATATGGTATACAGGTGAATGGAAAGACTGGGAGGCTAGTTTACAATCTGCTTTATATTTACGGTTTGACAATATATATATTTTTTGCGTAATACAATTTTAAGAATACATTTAAAGAATAATACTAATTAATAGTAATAACTTTTCTAACGACTTTGGTAAATTATCATTACCTAAAATTGATAAATAGTTGCAATGAGACCATTTGTTGTTTTTGTGTTATTAATAATTATCTTTCGATTCAATCTGCAGTCGCTGAAAACAATAAGGCCTTATGCACCCAGCATGCTTTTTTTATGAGCATCAAACATTTGGGCTTTCATTAATTTTAGTAGGCAGAATTTTAATTAATTGTTTGTCAGTTGAATGAATGAATGCTCAAGCACTAAAGTATTTACAAGTTTAGGGGTGTCTTGTTTATTCTGCCAAAATGTGCAAGTGATGGGTTTTTTTCCTGCCTCTAAATGCTCCTGCCTCTTTACACCTGCAAACTCCTATGTGTGGAGGGTGTTTAGAGGCAGGAAAAAAAAAAAAAAGTCAACTGCCTCTCTAACAGCCATGTTTTTAACAAACCGTAACCTAAACAGTTAACTGCAACTCAGCAAACTAATAGCATTGTACAAAACTCCCCCACAATTTGTATTTCCTTCTGAGTGATTGGTTCACTGCCTTTCCCTGCATTAAGCTACAAGTTAGTTTTTAAATTTCCTCTGCATCAGAGATTACATTTTTGGTGAGATACGTTCAAAGGCTCAATCTCAACTAAAGAAACGCAGATGCTATAGCTTTTCTCATAACAGCAATGGGATTGCTCAGATGCTCATAATGAAGGCACAAACTCTGTCTGCCCTTTGTTCTTGGGATGTAGGAGTCATCCAGGATCCTAATAAACAATACAAATATGATAACTAATAAACTAGTGTGTTTCCAATATATTTTATTTGTTTATTTGTTCCTAGATAATAAAACTTTCTGAGAGGACATCCATTTTGGCCCATGCACATGGCGAGGATACCAAAAAATCTCACACACATGATATCCCCCATACTCAAAAGAAGTCAGTGTGTTTTTGGGTGTAATGCCATGTATACCCATGATGTGTGTGAGAATAATCTCAGTAAAGTGACAACTTTGTGTAAGAAAAAAATTTTTTTTGTCATTTTTCTAAAAACTTGTGTCAAAAAATAAAATCTTCTATGGACTCAACATGCCTCTCAGCAAATACTTTGGGGTGTCTATTTTACAAAAAGGGGTAATTTTTGGGGGTTTTTACTGCCCTGGCTTTTTAGCGCCTCAAGAAAAGTCAAAGCTGCCTAAAAGCTACATACATTCCAGTATGTACACCCTAGATTGTAGACGCTATAGCTTTTTTCACACAAACCAATTAATATACACTTATTGGGATTTCTTTTTTTTTTTTTTCCAAACACATATAGCAGAATACATTGTGGGCTAAATTTATGAAGAAATTTATTGAATATGATTTATAACAGAAAGTAGGAAATACTGTTTTTTTTTTAACATTTTCAGTCTGTTTTCGTTTTATATAATAAAAAAACCCAGTGGTGATCAAATACCACCAAAATATTGTTTTTTTTTTTCTCAAAATTGTCAGCCTTTTTTTTTATAGCGCAAAAAAAATAAAAAACGTACAGGCGATCAAATACCAAGAAAGCTCAATTTGTGGGAAAAAAAGGATGTAAATTTAACTTGGGTGCAGTGTTGCATGACCGCGCAATTGTCAGTTAAAGTAACGCAGCGACGTAACACAACCGCTTTCTGACCGCCCTATAGCAGAAATACTGCTACAGGGCGGCACGGTGCGCAAAATCACACATATATATATATATGTGATTTGCGCTCCCATGGTTTTCACGCCCCTCCCAGGTAGCGGCAGATTGCCCGTCAGTACACCAGTCATCACATTTAACCCCTTGATTGCCAGGAGCACGCTCATGCACAATAAACCTCCATTGCTAGTATAGTTTCTGAACGGGTCAATATCTTTGATCAGATTAGCACTATACCAGCGGTCATCTGGCAAGGCAGTGGGCATCTGTTCACATTAGTATAGCGTCCCCAAAAACGCAGTGTTAGCGGGATCTGCCACCACCTGCGTTTAGCCCCTACGCTTACCCCCCCCTTCTCCCCCAGCAAGTGCAGTGTCAGTAGGTCACTGTCACTTGATACATTGCACACAAAACCGCAGTGATCTCAGAATCAGGCCTGATCTCTGTTAGAACTTGCCGGTAAATTTTGATGACTCTCATATGCAGCAGAGTGCCAGTACTAGTGCCGCTCTACCTTTTGGTGAACTGGCGAGTACCAGCGGTCTAGTACATCTTGGTCTTTCACATACCTCCTTGATTTTTGGAGCTGTTTTTCATGGAATATCTGTATGCGTTGATTGTGGATCAAAGCAATTTATATAAACGAACAATTTATCGCCGCCAACCCAAATTCAAACCTTGCCAGAACAGTCGCACGGAAACTCATTACGGTTTTCAAATTTACATTTTTTTTGGGCCTAACCCTCAACATGGGCATTACTAAAAGAAATGAATTGCGGTTATATTGGTCCGCAGACCCGTGTATACCCATCATATCCCGTGTTCTCTGCTTCCATGGCCAGGCATAGATATGAGAGTATAATGTGTTTTATGCATTTCAATGACAATACACTCTGTCATCCTCAGGGTAACCATGAATTTGACCGGCTCCACAAAATTCAGCCCTTCGCAAATCACCCTTAACCAAAAATTTGCAGATGTCTATACTCCCCAGCAAAACATCTGTGTTGATGAGTCCCTCATTAATTTTTCTGGCCGCCTTGCATTCAAACAATTTCTCCCCTGCAAGCGTGCCAGATACGGGGTCAAGATGTAGAAGACCTGTGAGAGGACAACAGGCTATACGGACAACAGGCTATACTTATAAGTTTTGGATTTACGAGGGAAAAGATAGTCACGTGGAGCCCCCTGGATGCCCAGACTACATGGGGAGAAGTGGCAAGATAGTTTAGGACTTGGTGTCATCCTTTTTCCATATGGTGTACGACAATTTTTATTCAAGCGTGCCACTATTTTGACATTTGTTCAATCTTGGAACTGGCACTTGTGGCAAAGTGTGACCTAATGTGTGCCCACCATTAGATGTGGGTGGATTCAGGGCGGTATATTCTAATGGTGGGCATACCACACACTTTTTTTCTGGCAGCAATTTCTTCTCATTTTTTTCATTCAGTCCACAGGCTGCATACAAAAAAAAAAAGAACACAGCATATACACCCAACAAAGATCAGCGACTTTTGTACAAGGACTGGTACATCACTAGACTTTGAATGGTTATACCAGGATGAAGCCTACAGCTGCAGGCATCATCCTGGTATCTTTTTTTTTCAGCCAGTGATCGGCTTTCATGTAAAAGCAATCCTAGTGGCTAATTAGCTGCAGGATTGCTTTTACAAGCAGCTGGAGATTATGCCCCCCCTCCCCCGCTGCCTTCCACGGCCTTCGGGCAGTCTCGTGCCATCGAGGGAACCTGAGAATGCAGTCGGTGTTTCTGCCAGCTGACCATAGAGCTGATTGGAGACCAGAGTGGTGCCAATCATCTCTATAGTCTAAGAATTCGGAAGCTACAAGCATTTCATCACTTCAGTTTCGCAGGATATAAACAGCGCTATTTGTAAATTGGGAAAGCATCTGATCACACCGATTTTGGTTTGATTAGATAATGTAAGGGCAGAGGAGATATCCAGAGTCTGATAGACCCCAGATTTCTCAAAAAAGAATATATGACAATGCCCATTGAAGTTATAGGGGATATTTTCATTCCCTGGTATAGCATTAAAAGTGATAAAAAAAATGAAAGGTACAATGTAAAAATAATAAAAGAAAATCAAAATAACTAAAAAATAACTTGACCCTGTGCCGGTATGTAAACAGCGGTTGCACCATGCATGTGAGGTATTGCCGTGAACGTCAGATCAATGGCAGTAATTCTAGCACTAGACCTCTTAAGTAAATCTAAAATGGTAGCTTTTAAAGGCTTTTAAAGCGTTGCCTATGGATATTAAAAATGTTTGCAGTTTGACGCCATTGCACAGGGCATGCGCAGTTTTTAAAGCATGTCATGTTTGGTATCTATTTACTCGGCATACCATTATCTTTTATATTTTACCAAATAATTGGCCAATATATTGTGTTGTTGTGCATTAAAGGTAAAAAAAAGTGTATTTTTAAAAACAAATTTGCATTTAAAAAATCGCTGCGCGAGTACTATGTGCCATAAAAAATTGTAGTACCCACCATTTTATTCACTAGGGTGTCTGCTTTAAAAAAATATATAATGTTTGGGGGTTTAAATTAATTTCCTAGCAAAAAAATACTGATTTTTTTAATGTGAACAAAAAGTGTCAGAGAAGGCTTGGTCTTCAGGTGGTTAGAAGAGTGAGTGATGTAAGGCATAAACTTCTACTGCTGGGCACAGAATGCCCCCACCCCCCAAAACGACCCCTTTTTGGAAAGTAGATACCCCAAACTATTTGCTGAGAGGCATTTTGAATCAATAGAAGAATTTATTTTTTTACCACAA